GAGAGACGGTAAAACTGAAACCCGAGTGGAGAAAAAGGTTGTGATTTCGCAGGAAGAAAACGGGGATGATATTGACCACGACGCGGTAAGTTCAACAAAGGCTATGAAAGAAAACAAAGGAAATAAATTACCTCTTAATTCTCCCCTTCCCAAATAATTCTTAACAGCTCTCTAGGATCAAAAGCTGATTGATTAATCTCATAGTAATTTCTTAGGGTTTATAACTTGATATTTCTGTTCATCAAGCCCTTTTTATACGCCCGTCTTAAGACGGGATGTATTATGTTATAGGCTTCATGTCCGTCCGTCTGTCCGTCTGTCCATTCGTGTCCGGCTCATAACTAGGCCTAGGATTATCAAACTATGTCAACTGATACTTCTTGGGTAGACGGTGTGTCGCGCACCAAAAGTAGGTCGCTCTGACCTTTAATAAAGATGTTATGGCCAAATATGGAAAAATCCTGTCCGGCTCATAACTAGAAAACTATTAGACCTAGAGCTATCAAACTTGGCAAAAGTATACATCTTAGGTAGAAGGTGTGTCGCGACCTATTTCAAGGTCACTGTGACCTTTAATTTTAGTGAAATTTTTCAAAAATTTAAGTTTTTTAAATTTTAGATTTCGTAATCCTAAAAATGTAAAAAATAGAGTTGTATCCTTATTAAAAAGTATTAAATCAAGTAAAAACTTATTTTTTCATCATATACTTTACAGCAATCTTAAACAAATTTCAGTGTTAGTGAGAGGAATTCAGTTTGTCCCATGGGCATAATTATCAAGCACTGGTCAGGAAGAATTTTGATAGCAGAAAGTTGCATGTCAAATTAGAGAGAAATTAATGAGTTTAGTGTGAGGAGGTTTGGTGTTATCCCTTGGGTATTGGGCAAATGGACAGCCAGCCTAGCTGTTAGATTAAAAATAGCTCTTGGTGGCTAGCTAAGTTTTAAAATGAATTTGATAAAAAATAATTAAAACTTATTTGATATTGCATAATAAACTAATAATCTGATATTATATAATATTAATTAATTAAAAACTAATTTTATCGGGTGGGGTTGAATCAGCATGCCTACTTGACCGTATGAAATATAAATATAAAACCTGTCTGGCATTGAATCTAAAAAGAAATCATGGAGTATTTTATATGTTTTAAAAGTGTTTTAGGATAAAAAGTGCAGATCCATTAATATTTAGGGAGTAATGAGTAGACAAGCATCCAGTCAAAGATTAATTAATGAGTTCAATGTAGGAAGGCTATCTGATTAAGCGCTGCCTTATCTGTCTTTTGGGATTAGACAGAAGAACTGCTGGTCATAGCAAATGTCATTTGATGGCCAGCCTTTCTTTTCAAAATTAATTTGGCATAGATTAAGTTGTTAAGACTAATTTGATATTGTTTATTATGATGGCCGGCATTTGACAAAGTCTAACACAAACAGTATAGAAATCTGTCAGTTATGTAATATTTGTTATAATTATGCCTACAGCACAGGGGATGGATAAAGAAATAGTTTTATGTGCCCGGATCGATAGATCCCGGGCGTATATTGTTTTTGTCCTGTCTGTTTGTCTGTTTGTCTGTTTATCTGTTTGTCTGTTTGTCTGTTGTCAACTTTAACCTTGGCCATAACTTTTGAACAATAAAAGATAGAGACTTCATATTTGGTATGCATACTTTACTAATAAAGTCCTTTCAAATGACATCAAGGTCAATGACCTTGTGACCTTGACTGTGACCTATATGCTAAAAATAGCTTTTTCCACTGTTTGTCATAACTTTTTAACCATAGGAGATAGGGACTTCATATTTGGTATGCATACTCCACTAATAGAGTCCTTTCAAATGACATCAAGGTCAATGATCTTGTGACCTTGACTGTGATCTATATGCTAAAAATAGCTTTTTACACTTTTTGCCATAACTTTTGAACCATAGGAGATAGGGACTTTATATTTGGTATGCATACTCCACCGATTAAGTTCTTTCAAATGACACCATGGTCAATGACCTTGTGACCTTGACTGTGACCTATATGCTAAAAATAGCTTTTTCCACTGTTTGTCATAACTTTTGAACCATAAGAGATAGGGACTTCATATTTGGTATGCATACGCCACTAATAGAGTCCTTTCAAATGACGGCAAGGTCAATGATCTTGTGACCTTGACTGTGACCTATATGCTAAAAATAGCTCTTTACACTTTTTGCCATAACTTTTGAACCATAGGAGATAGGGACTTCATATTTAGTATGCATACTCCACTGATTAAGTTCTTTCGAATGACACTATGATCAATGACCTTGTGACCTTGACTGTGATCAATATGCTAAAAATAGATTTTTTGAACTTTGTTGCCGCTGGGCGCATAGTGTTTCACAAACACATCTTGTTTTTAAAAATGGAAAAATCATGGACATCTTAGAATCAAGGTTGAAGTGATTTTCTTGCAGTCTAAACTGTTAAAGATAATTGTGTAATATTTTGACGGGCGTATCATGCTGTGGCGTGGCACTTTATTGTAAATCTCTCGTACTAATACTCATATTCCTGTTGTATTAACTTTAACTATTTTATGACAGCTGCTAGCGGAGGCCATTAAGTCAGTAACGGAGATGAACCCTGACCTGTCCGTGGAGAGGATTGAGTGTATGAGGCAGATGGAGGAAGTGGACGGAAGGTACTAGGTAAGTCAATCACATTGAATTCTTGTCTTATAGGTACAACTTAAAAAATCAAAGTCTCTTTTATTAAAGGTGACTTAAATGCCCTCTGTTTCATAAAAAGTTTTAGTGAAATCAAGCACACTTTATTTTGTTTAGAGTACTAGTTAAATCAAACAAGTAATATTTTATTAAAGGTACTAAATAAGTTGAATATGTCTGTGCATGTAGGATGCTTCACAGAAAATAATGTATCTTAAATAGCTTACCTTCATTATGTAGCTTAGATTTTGAAGTTAACCTCTGACCTATACATTGTAGGTTAGATTTTTATGTTAGAAATAATGTATCTTAAATAGCTTACCTTCATTATGTAGCTTAGATTTTGAAGTTAACCTCTGACCAATACATTGTAGGTTAGATTTTTATGTTAACCTATGACCTTCTTGTTGTAGGTTAGATTTCGGTGTTCGTTAACCTCTGTACAGGTATAGCCAGTTATCAGTGCCTATTACGTCTCCAGTCCTCTCCTGCCTGCCTTTGCGTCTCCTTTTTTTGCTTTTGAAGGACGATAAAGACAGCGGACCCACTGGTCACTTTGACAGACTATAGGAAATATTGCAATAAATTAACGTGTATGTGGCATAAAAATCATGTTTCATGTGTCATATTTAATTTGTTTCATTTGACATTATATCAAGAGACTTTCTGCCAGCAGATAATTTAAGGTCGTGTGTCTCTGACCTTTTTGTACTGAAGTCGGTTGCCATGTGATGGGATCAGATTGTCACACCTTACTTCTCCCGGGCTGAGAGATTATAATGGCAGCTATAGGGACTCATTTCTTATTTGATGTTTAATCTCATTGGCATTTTAAGTCATCTTTTAATGGATGCAGAGAAAATGTTTTTTGCAAAATGCTACATAGCTAGATAAGGTTTGTTAAGATTTTTTTTATTTGCTGAATGCTTTATTTATATAAATGATATGACTCTCTGACACTGTTTATCTTAAAAAGATTATACTTTTATGAAGACAGATTATGTGTCTGTGCAAGGTTGTCCAATTTTATTGCTTATGTTGCTATTTTTAAGTCCAGACTGTAGAGCTGCAGTCCGATCAGAGACTTCTGCTTTTAAGTCCTAGACTAAAATTTTATGTAGATCATCTTTTTATACATGTATAGAGATAAAATTCATTTCAATAAAATCAACATTTTTAATTATGTCTTATGTGTTTCATATGCTTTAATCTAATGTTAAAATACAGGGTTTTACATATTTAACCTTTCTCTTATTGAATAAAAAAAATCCCTATTGTTATCATTATCTTATTGGGGATTTTTTAAATTTATAAATAGAAAAATTTAAAATGTCAAGCCCCTGTGTGTTAGAGATGCATGTTATCAATTCTCTAATCTGTTTCTGTTGTTAAGTATTCCTCTTCTTAAAAGTCGGCCAGTCTTGCATCTCTCTGTAAATCAAGAGGATTCAATTTTGCAAAGGGGAGATAATAATGAGTAAAAAAATTTAATAGTTGGGGGATCAAAAAGAAGAGGATGAATTTCTAAGTTATTATGAGTCATACTGAGACAGAAATATCTACAGATAATGAAGATGTAAATGAGCGTAGACTTGAATTTAAAATTAGCCAACTTTCCTTACTTATGCAGAAATATACCTTCATCACCTGCATACGAAGTTTATATATCCCAGTTGATTCGATACGCAAGATAATGCTCTACATATAAACAATTTTTAAACGTGGTAAATTATTGACAGACAAGTTGATGAAACAAGAATATCGGCAGTATTTTTAAAGTCACCATTTCGCAAGTTTTAAGGTCGATACAATGACATTGTCAGCTAATACAGTTAATCATTAAGTCAAATGCTTACGAACGTTTTTCACACTAATTGTTGGTCCATTATTTATACACTGAATCGACGACGGATTTTTCCGTTATTTTCCGATCATTACAAGGAGCACACGGCGGGTTTGACCGGTCAGCTGGGGATGCTCAATCCTCTATGGCACCTGATCCCACCTCTGATGTTTCGGAGGTCCGTGTTTGCTCTGTTCCTGTTTTGTATTGTTTTATGGACTTTGAAATTGAATTATTCAAATCAAATAAAAATGTTGAAATTTAGAGCAGAGGTATATTTCACCTTAATGAAAGATTAAGATTACATTTTCTTCGTTAAAAAAAACCCATTGTTCTAAATGTCATTTTTTTTCAAACTGTACACACTTGTAGTTTGAATGAGGATTAAGGAATGGTATGGAGATAATGAACAGTAATATTGAAGAAAATGTCATCGTAATCTTTCATTAAGGTGAAATGTGACCGTGTCATAAATATGATAAACACAGTTGGGTCAAGGGTTCGATTCTTTATTACATGGATCCCGTTCCACATACATGTACACAATCAATAAAGTGAAAATCGGCCCTATAAGAAATAAAATACAATAAGTAAATGACATCAAACAATATATTCAGTTCAATGCAGTCCTCATATATCGACACGGATTGTAATAAGGATAGATTTAACAGATTATAAATGTTCCAAATTCATGAATGCGTAAAAAGGGAAATAACTCTTACAAATTACAGAATTACCAAAATCGTGTTTAGATAGAAATTTACGTAGTTTGAGTAATTTATCAAAGTACATTAAAAATGTAAAAAACAAGTAATAATTCCTATAGCGTACCAATTTATGGAATCAGGCTGAGCACTAACAAAAATGCTGGCTCGAATATTACATCTATACAGAACCTATATGAAAACAACAATCATAGGTTCAGCCGTAATCTCAAGACAATATAGCTGATCATTAAAATAATAAAACTGTACAAATTACAATATCTATATCTAGTATTGCCTATAATCAATATGATTACTGAAAAATACTACTTTACAAGAGACAATGAACTTTATTTCAAAACTTCAATCGTTCTCTCTTTCAATCAAAGAAATTATATTACGTAAAGATAGAAAGATAAAAGTAGAAAAATAGATAAGACTTACTGTATGTGATCTGTTTACTAATACTCGATATATATAGTATGGTAATCTTGAAATGTAGTAAAGCCCAAATATGGTCGAGACAAATCTCACAGCCGGTAACGTTGGCTGTCCGTGCGAGAAGGAAGTGCCCCCCGCACAACACATCGAACAATAGAAAACTTACCGCCAAAACCCTTGGCCAATAAAACTACGTTACACGTAATGTCAAAGGTCGACAATGTCAGCCATGCAGTCAGAATAAACATTAACATGCAAAGTGAAAAGTGCAATGATGATAATGATAACTGTAAAACACTTTGAGATAAATAAATATTCTTTATTAATTAATTGTTTATTTATTAAAACCACTCTGCCACAGAAATATACCTCTGCTCTAAATTTCAACATTTTTATTTGGTAATTTCCATATTTCCTATGTCGATGCGATATACCCTGATGAGCTTGAGAAAAAAGATACCACACAGTCTGACACATGTTTCATACTTGGATATTTTACATGTATTTGAAATAAGGACGTTAATGGCAATCTAACAAACCAAGCTTTTTGATTAACGCGATGATTTTAACTTTTCTATCTTCAACTTCCATTACTTATTCAGCAGTATACTCTCATCACCTGCATACAGAGCTCATATATTTCAGTTGATTCGATAAGCAAGAGCATGCTCTATGAATAAACAATTTCTGAAACGTGGTAAATTATTGACAGACAAGTTGATGAAACAAGAATATCAGCAGTCTCTTTAAAGTCACCATTTCGCAAGTTTTATGGTCGATACATTGACCTTGTCGGCAAATATAATTTATCATTGAGTCAAATGCTGACTGACGTTTTTTTCATATTAATTGTTATTTATACACATATTGACGAAGGATTTTCACGTTATTTTCCGATCATGACCAGGAGCACAAGGCGGGTGTGACCGGTCGGCAGGGGACGCTCATTCCTCCAATGCACCTGATCCCTCCTCTTTTGAAGGTCCGTGTTTGCTCTGCTCCTAATTTGTATTGTTTTATGGACTTTGATAATGAATACTGTTCGTTATCTCCATATCATTCATTTAGTTCTTAACACAGATTTTTATCAACAACAATAAAATGAGATTTAAATGGTTTGACGTAAAATTTATTTCTGAAAAAATATGAAACACTTCACGAGTCACTCTTTTATCAATTTCAATCTAATATTGTTAGTGAAAAATAATGTCGAGAGTTTTATTTTCAAAATTGATAAACTTTGAAGCAGAGGGATGTTTCAGCCTAATTAGATCTTCACAAGGTAAGGTCAGAACAAAAGGTACTGTGTGTGGAGACCGTAATGTTTTCAAAGTGCGTTGCCACAATCCAGTTTTGAGAAGTGGACAACGATATATATCAGCCACTGAAGTGAAGTGGACAGGGATATACATCAGTCATTCTAGAGAAGTGGACAGAGTTATACATCAGTCACTCTAGAGAAGTGGACACAGATATACATCAGTCACTCTAGAGAAGTGGACAGAGTTATACATCAGTCAATCTGGAGAAGTGGACAGGGATATACATCTGACATTCTAGAGAAGCGGACAGAGATATACATCAGACATTCTAGACAAGTGGACAGGGATATACATCAGTCACTCTAGAAAAGTGGACACAGATATACATCAGACATTCTAGAGAAGTGGACAGAAATATACATCAGTCACTCTAGAAAAGTGGACAGAGATATACATCAGTCACTATAGAGAAGTAGACAGGGATAAACATCAGTCACTCTAGAGAAGTGGACAGGGAAATGCATCAGTCACTCTAGAAAAGTGGACAGAGATATACATCAGTCACTCTAGAGAAGTGGACAGGGAAATGCATCAGTCACTCTAGAGAAGTGGACAGAGATATACATCTGACATTCTAGAGAAGCGGACAGAGATATACATCAGACACTCTAGAGAAGTGGACAGAGATATACATCAGACATTCTAGAGAAGTTGGCAGGGATCTACATGAGTCACTCTTGAGAAGTGTGCAGGGATATACATCAGACATTCTAGAGAAGTGGACAGGGATATACATCAGACACTCTAGAGAAGTGGACAGGGATAAACATCAGACACTCTAGAGAAGTGGACAGAGAAATACGTCAGTCACTCTAGAGAAGTAGACAGAGATATATCAGTCATTTTAGAGAAGTGGACAGAGATATGCATCAGATACTTAAAGAAGTGGACAGAGATATACATCAGACACTCTAGAGAAGTGGATAGGGATATACATCAGACAATCTAGAGAAGTGGACAGAGATATACATCAGTCACTATAGAGAAGTGGACAGGGATATACATCAGTCATTCTAGAGAAGTGGACAGAGATATACATCAGTTTCTCTAGAGAAGTGGACAGAGATATACATCAGATACTATAGAGAAGTGGACAGAGATATACATCAGACACTCTAGAGAAGTGGACAGAGATATACATCAGTCACTGTAGAGAATTGGACAGATATATACATCCGTCTCTCTAGAGAAGTGGACAGAGAGATACATCAGTCTCTCTAGAGAAGTGGACAGAGATATACACCAGTCACTTTAAAGAAGTGGACAGAGATATACATCAGACACTCTAGAGAAGTGGACAGAGATATACATCAGACATTCTTGAGAAGTGGACAGAAATATACATCAGACATTCTAGAGAATTGGACAGAGATATACATCAGTCTCTCTAGAGAAGTCGACAGAGATATACATCAGTCACTGTAGAGAAGTGGACAGGGATATACATCAGTCATTCTAGAGAAGTGGACATAGATATACATCAGATACTATAGAGAAATGGACAGGGATATACAATAGACATTCTAGAGAAGTGGACAGAGATATACATCAGACACTCTAGAGAAGTGGATAGAGATATACATCAGACAATCTAGAGAAGTGGACAGAGATATACATCAGATACTATAGAGAAGTGGACAGGGATATACATCAGACATTCTATAGAAGTGGACAGATATATACATCAGACATTCTAGAGAAGTGGACAGGGAGATACATCAGTCATTCAGACAAGTGGACAGGGATTTACATCAGACACTTTATAAAATTGGACAAAAATATATATTAGGTAACCAAGAGAAGTGGAGAGATTTGCATTGGACACTCTGAAGAAGTGGACAGAGATATTACTACTTATTCTAGTATATAC